ACCTCCTGATGATGGTCAATCACAACCCCCCACTCCCACCCCCCAGAGAGCAACTCTGCCTTCTGGTCCACTGGTCTGAGGTCCCCATGAGTGGTCAGTTTCAAGTTCGAGGAAGTCGTCGCTCTATCTCCTGTTGGAAGCTGGGGTCCCCTCCATGCATGCGGAGCCGGGACCCCTGGTCCGGCAGAGCCCAAGACCGCAGAGATGAGCAGCACACACCCTAATAGGGGGCCACTGAGGATGATGCCGGGAGCGCTCTGCCTTCGGTTCCAGCCCCGTGAACCGCCTGCTTTTTCGGAGCATGTACCGTATCCTGGGAAACAGGGCGCCACTCACAGGGAACAGTCCCTGTGCTGCACCGTGGAGGTGGGCCTTCCATCAGCTGGCAGCTTCCGGAGATGTGTTTTTTGCTGGGGGGAGGCAGGAGAAGTAGACCTCATGGTCTGGGACTCAGAGTCATGCACTCTTTGCTGCAGAATGGGGTTCTTGGTCAGTCCGATTCTTTGTGACCCCGTGGACTGTACCCCGCCAAGCTCCTCTGTCCGTGGGATTCTCCAAGCAAGAATACTGGAGTGGGTTGCCATTCCCTTTCTCCAGGGGATCTTCCCAACCCAGGAATTGAATCGGGGTCCCCAGCACTGCAGGCGGCCCATCTGAGCCACCAGGGACGCCCATATAGACAATGCTGCCAATTATTCACACTGAACACTGGCTTTTTACCGGCCCCCAAGGGGTGAAGAACTGGGGGCCCAGGGAATACCCATGGTGAGCCTGCTTCTCCTTCCTGGCAGGCTGACCTCTGAGGCATTTCCCTGACACACAGCCGATACGCTTTTCTTGCTGAGTCTTGCCTGGAACAGAGTTGGGAGGTGTCACCTTTCTCCGCATCTCGGATGGGGGTCAAGCAAGCCAGAGGCTCTCAGGAATTCCCCCAGGTCCCCTGCCAGGCTGGGGGTGGGGTGGGGTGTGGAGCAGGTGAGGGGCAGGCTTCCTGCACCGTTCTGTGGCTTAGGTCAAGAGCAATCCCAGCACCAAGCCATCTGGAGGGAGAATCTGCCCAGGACACTTCAATATAATGTGGCTTCAGTGACATGACAAGCACCGATGACTTAGGGGACCTGTGGGTGGCTCCCGAGGCTGGGGCGTCCAGATGATGGCAGTGGCTGGGAACCTGGTTCCCTGTGTGGCCCAGTGTCTCTCTTCTCACCAACCAGGGGGACTCGGGCTTGAAGCTCTGCTCCCAGGAGGCCCTTGTGCGGGTGACGCTGGGCTGAACCATATCCCCCTCCCTCTCTGCTACCCAAGACAGTCTCAAGTCCCACCCTCTGGGACCTGTGAACTTGACCTTACTTGGAAATAGGGTATCCATGGATGTCGTTAGCTAAGATGAGGTCATGCTGGAGGAGGGCAGGCCCCCAAACGGCAGGAGAGTCACAGCCCTGGGCCCAGGGACACCAAGGGTGCCCGGGAGACCCAGAAGCCAGAGAGGAGCCTCCCCTGGAGCTCCTGGGGAGGGGGCGGCCCTGCCACCACCTTGATCTCAGACGTCTGGCCTCCAACCAGGACAGCAAACTTCTGTCGTTCAGGCCCCGGTTCGTGGGGCTTCGTCCCACGGCCTCAGGACAACAGGCCACCTCGCATTCGTTACCCCTTGAACCAGCCCGGTTCTTCTCTCATCTCCAGCACAGGGGCTGGAGCACAAGAAGTGCTCAGTCAACGCCCTGCCCAATGCCCTGCATCTCTGAATGAGCTGGCCCTGCCGTTTCACTCTCCATTTCCCTCACGTACTCCTAACTCCCCTTGTCTGTTTTCCGCTGCACGAGCACCAAATTTAATTAGAGAAATGGCTTCTTGATCACTAGCCAAAAATCCAAGTCTTGCCCGTAGTGCGTCCTTTCCCGAATCAGGCCCCGACGTCCTACTTCATTACTTGTAATGAACCCTCTCCTGTAGTTTCTCTGTGATGGCGAAGCGGTGCCAAGTCTGCAAAGCGCTCGGAGTTAACCGGGCCGTCCAAATGACGGAGCAGACTCGGCCGTCACGGGCGATGAACGCACATGGCCTTTTCTGTAGCGCCTGGAGAGCTCAGGGTGAGTGACAGGCACGGGATGCTGAGGCTGGATCTGAATCCGCTGAATAATCCAGGTGTGTGGACCCGTGTTTGAAGGAGTGAGGCTCCAAGGAGTGAGTCACATGTTATTTTTACTCCTGGTTTCATATGGCCTGGTTTTAAATTACTGAGCGGCTGGAAAGCTCCCACAATGAAATCATATTTCATTTGTTTCTCCATTTGGCTGTTAAGTGAATCAATTTCTGGACTGGGTTTGGAGGTGAAGAAAGGACAGAGAAACCCGCTCGGCTTGGACGAGAGAAGGCCCAGAGGTGCCCTGGGTGGTTTGGAGTCTCTGGAGGCGGCTCTTCCGTGGGCCTGGGGCCTCCCACGTGCAGGATGTCTGCACGGCTGGGCTTCCAGGGCGGTGCCTTTCTAGACCAGGCCTCAGGGGAGCCCGGCCACACCGGGCACTTTCTAGGGAGAAGCAATTGGCGGGAAGTCTCAGCAGACCCTGGGTGAGGTCAGGAATGTGGGGAAGGGGAGGCTCACATCTTTGCTTTTGCTGTGCGTGAGAGGCAGCAAAGGGAGCACTGGGGCGGGAGGCGGGGTGGACACTGACGCTGGAGTTCAGTGGTTACGCTCCTCCACGCTGGAGACCCCGGGATGCCCTGGAGACCTCAGGATGCCCTGGAGATCCCAGGATGCACTGGAGACCCCAGGATGCCCTGGAGACCTCAGGATGCCCTGGAGACCCCGGGAAGTGAGGGGGACCCCTTGATAAGCCCTGCCTGGGCAGCCTGACATTTGGTGAGGGCATCAGACAAGAGGGATAAACAGCAAGAGTACACAGCAACCTGGCAAGGACAGTCAAGGCCTCGGGGAGTGGAGGCGGCCCCCAGTTTAGCCAGGCTTCAGGGGTCTTCTCCAAGGAAGGACTCTCTGGTGGAGTCCAGTGGGTGTCGCTGAGCTGTCAGGTGAGGCTGGGCCACCCCCCAGCCCAAGGGGGAGAGAGCCTGGCATGGTTTGGCTCCAGGGCCGCAGGTCCCTATGGTCCGAGCCCCTTATCCTCAATTCAGGCCCCTCAGCCTCGTCTCTTGACCTCCTCGGCGCTCCTTGAAGGCCCAACAGACCCAGGAGAGATGTGTGTCAAATGCCCCAGGCTCGCTCTTCAGAAGAGCCTGGGTGTGCATCCCAGCTCTTCTGCACGGGACCAGTTTGCATTTGGGCAAGTGAAGCCTCGATTTCCCTATCTGTTAAATGGGTGCAAGGATGATGCTGAGGATAGTAATGGAGGGCTCTCTGGCACAGAGCGGTCCTGGAACATTGCAACCCTGGTCCTCGCTGCTTGCCTCACCTGCCTTGGCCCTTGGCATCCTCCTCACCTGTATATCGTGACACCTCCACCCCACCCACTTTTTTGGGCCATACTGTGCAGCTTTTGGGATCATAATTCCCTGCAGGGATCAAACCCAGGCCCGCGGCAGTGAAAACTCGGGGAGTCCTGGCCACTCTTCTGCCAGGGAAGTCCCTCAAACCCCTTGCTCCTCCTGCCTGAGTGTGAGGCTGGCCCCACCAGGGGTTAGACAAACCCCTCCACGAGGCTCTGCTGCCCCATTTAACCAGCCCTCCCCTCTTGACCTTCCGCCCTCCCAGCCCCTCCTGGGCAGGCCTCAAGAAAGCAGCACTGATGCCCACTGGCCCCGGACCACACAGTTGGCGTTGTGCCCAGCTGTCACCTCATCCCTCAACATCCTTCCCTTCCCAAGGGCTTGAGGCCCCACAAAAGGGCAGTAAACATTTTCAGGACAGACGACCTTAGTTCTGAAGGGACTTCCAGGCTCTCGGAGCTGCAACAGACACCTGTATCCTCAGGGCGTTTGTCACAGAAAGAGAAGGCCTTTGTCTGTAGGTCACCGGACTCATTGCTTGGGAACCTGTACCTGGCACAGGCCATGCAGGAAAAGTACCCCTAAAGGCGCCCAGGGTGGCTGTGCTGTGGGCTGAGCACGGTGTCTTACGTAGTTAGTAGATGCTTGAGAAGGAACACTTAGGCTTCGATCATTTTTGTTTTGTGATCACCTCTGGGTCACCAGGGACGGAACCTGCAAATGATAGCCTGGTGCCCACAGGAGAGCAGTTGCTGTGAGAGGCTCGACTCTAGGACCAGCTGGGCCTGGGGCGGGGGCAGAGGCTGCCCTGCTCTGCAGTCTCCATCACCAGCACACGCCTCCTAGTAAGTGGCCAGCAAACAGCAGAGGTGGAGCTCTTCAAGTCTCCTCCAGGGTCCTACCTGGGCTCTGCCCACAAGGCCCCTTCAGCTGCCTGGCACCTGCCTGCTGGCACTTAGGCACGCCCTCCTTTATGACCCAGGGCTCTGCCATCCAGTCCTGATTATACCCCTGGCTTCCCAGGAGCCCGGGTCTGGACAAGGAGGGCACCGGGCCACAGAGCAGGGGGCAAACACGCAAGGGCCCATCTTCATCTTGGAGACGGAAGTCTGGGCACCCCGAGGCCCATCCCGGGGGGGGACGTGGACCAGCACTGCCGCTGGAGGCGCCAGTCAGGGGACCCGGTCAACACCCTGGAAAGTCAACCCCTTCTGTGCTTCCCCTGAGCGCAGCCTGGCCAGGTCATGTCCTCTCCCCAAGCCTGGAGGTGGAAGACTAGGGCCCTGCTTGTAGGGTCATGGGGAAGATGGAACCAAAGGAAACCTGCTAAGTCTTCAAGCAGGAAAGATGGGGCAAAGGTGGAAAGAATGGGTGGAGGGCCAGTGGGGCCACCCAGGGCACCCACTCGTGAGGGCCTGGAAGGGGGTCCCTGTGAAATGAGATGGGGACTTCCCCGGGGGAACATTTAGGGGTATGTGGGCTGAGGAGCGGGTGTGGCTTCTACCCTGCCTGCAGGAAGGGGCCTGGGTCACCCCAGGGCATTCCTTTCACCACAGGTGTGAGCCTGGCAGGAGGAGAAGGTGGGGGGTAGCCACTGGCAGCCAGCAAGGCCCAGCGGGTCCTCTGAATATCTGAAAGCATGCAACAGATGTTGTAAGCATCTTGGTTTGACCGTGAGCCTGTCTGGGAGGCCCTTGTGTCAAGGAGCCCCTCAGACATTCCCTCCTTCAGGGTTCTTTCTACAATGAATTAGAGGACTAATTTGAAAACAAATTTCTGTTTTCTTTATTAAAACAGCGCCCAGTTCACTAAAGGTACTGAATACACGGTGGATGGATGGATGGATGGAAGACAGGTGAGAAAAGGCAACACCCTTTGAGGGCTGATGATGGCCCATACTGCTCTCCGGTCTGTTTCAATAACAATAAATATAATAACGATCATTCCCTGAGCCCTGACTTTTTTGCACTTCGAAGTGCTTTATGCACATGACTCACGGGATCCTCCTAAGAACCCTGTGGGTCAGGTGCTGTATGAAGGATGAGGAAGCTGAGACACAAGAGAGGGTGAACGAGCTGCCCGAGGTCACACCTGGTTCACAGCATCACGGATGACAACCAAAGCCTGGTTCTGTCCACCCAGCCCCTGCGGGCGCCGTGCAGGAGGAAGATGAGTGAGCAGGCCTGGCCCACAGGGAGTTCCCCTGTGGGAGAACCAGCCGGGCCAGGGCAGAGGGGGCAGAGGCGTGGCTACAGGACACCCGGGTCCTCCCTCACTGCCAACCCGCTGTGTGACTTCAGCAGGACTTCCTTGGGCCTTCGGTTCTACCCCAGTGAAAGAATGTGCTGGAACCACATGACCCTGAAGTTCCTTCCTCAAGGAGTTGAGAACGGCTATGACTCCCCAGTCCCTGCCCCATTTGAAGGTGTCTGCTCAGAGAGGTGGGGCCGGCCCCACTGGGAGGCCCTGGGTGGCGCATGTTGGGTGGACCTCTGGAACCAGGCCACTCACACTCGCCCTCTGACTCACAGGGACTTGGGAGCAAGGGCCTGTCCACACCTTTCCGTGGGGAACTTGATGGTGAGCTTACTAAAGAGGACACGTGGAGGCAGCGGGTGCTCTGATATTGGGTGGGCGTCTGGCCTGCTGCCCCGGGTGATGGCCTGGAAGGTACCGGGTGCTCGGGGTCAGCACCCTCTCTCCTTCCCTCCCTTTACTCAGCAGGGTATCTGTGGGGTGCCCACTCTGTGCCAGGCTTATACAAGTCACTGAGAAGGATAATAACTGCATGATAATATCAAACACAGCTATTGATCTCCTCTGCTGCCGGGGCCCAGCGTGCATTAGCCCATGGGAGCCTCAGAAGTATCTCGAGAGGCGGGGACTGCTCACAGTCTAACGATGCACATGGAGAAGAAACCAGGCTCCCCACCAGGGGTCAGACCCCCCAGGCCCCCACCCTGAATGGCCAGGCTCTGTCCTCACCACAACTAACCACCAGAATTTAATGCTCTCATCCGTGGTGGATCCTCCAATTGGCTACTTCACGGATGGGGCCCTGATGCCCACAGAGGGGCAAGGACTGCTCAGGTCTGCACTGCTGAGAGGGCCGTTGGGTGAAGAAGAGGGCACCAGACCCCTGCTCGTTTCCTTCCATCATCACATCCACTCGTGTTCTGGGCAAAAGGCCCCAGCGGACAGGCTTGGAGCCGGGCAGCTACACAAACAGCCAGCCCAGCCAGTCTTTCCAGGTTGCTAGGGTGCATGGGGCTTGGGCCAACCAGCTGAGCTTTTCTCCCCGGCGTGCGGGGTCGCGGCAGGGTCCGGGCGAAGGGCGCGCGGCCGCCGTAGACCCTGCGGCGGAGAGGTGTGTGACACGGGTCGGGGGGTGGGGAGGGCTTGGCGGCAGGGGGGCGCCGCCCTTGTGTGACTCCCGCAGCGCCTTGGTGGGTAGGTGGGTTGGGGAGGGGCGTCACACGGGTCTGGGGGTGGGGAGGGCTTGGCGGCAGGGGGGCGCCGCCCTTGTGTGACTCCCGCAGCGCCTTGGTGGGTAGGTGGGTTGGGGAGGGGCGTCAGGTCGACCCCCCCGGCGTCCTGGGTTCGCCCAGCGCAGACTTGGGGGCGCGGAGCCCGCAGTTGGTGTGCGGCCCTCCGCGGTGCGCGCGCGTGCTCTCTCCGGCCCCTCGTCCCCTCCACTGCGTACCCAGGCTGCTGCCTCTGGGGCCGCACCCGCAAGGTCTGACAGCCTCTGTGCGGCGCTGGAAAAATCCCACGTCACCACCACCTAGTGCGCTTGGGGAAACTGAGGCCTACCGTTGGGGGCCAAGCTCCTGGAGAGACTCTGAAGTGACCAGAGCCCCGTTTTGAGAGCCTTCTGGGGACCCAGCCCTGGCTGGAGGGCTTGTCCCTACATTCCCCAGCAGGGAGAGGCCATCACCCCATTTTCCAGGGTGCGACCGAGCCTCACCAGGCTTGAGTCACTTGCTCAGGTCTTGCAGTGGGGCTGGGTTTTGAAGCTGGTGCTTCCTGACTCCTGTGTCCTGCCTTGAGCCCATCTCCCCGCAGACTCCAGGATGGGCCCCTGGCCACCCCGCAGAAACCAGAGGAGACAACTGTTTCTCCCTGAGGGGCGGGAGGGTAGGGAACAAACAGGACTGTGGAGGGAGTGTGCCTTTAGGGACCATTTCCTGTCTGCTGTCTGCTTGGGACCTGTGTTTCCCGGGAGCACCCCCCCCAAGGGGAGTCTGTCCCCTCCCCCTCCTAGTTGAGGAAGGAGGAACCACAAGGGCAGTGGGAGTTGGGAGAGAAGCTGAGAGCAAATGGCAGGCTGGAGGAGGCAGACTTCTCTAGAAGAGGGTTTCTGAAATGGCCAACCTGTTCTTTGGAGGTGGCTGGGGAACAGGGCACCCCGCCTTGGCAGAGCCTCCAGACACATTTATCTAATGCTAGGTGGGGGGGGGTAATGGCAGGGTGCACCAGGTAATTTTAGGCTCTCCCCAACTGTAATTGATCCCTCCGATCTCTCCTGTAATCAGGGGGAGCCCTGGAAGGAACCATGGCATTTCCCCCCTCATTTGTGGTTGTCCTGGGAGCAGGGGTAGGTGGTCACCAAGAGTCCTGGGGGGGATCAGAGGGCAAGGAGACTGGGGTTTGAATCATAGTGTCCACCTGCTGGCCTTGGGCACAGCGTGATGGCTTCCTGAGCTTGGCTTCCTGAGAGCAGTATCGTTGCCCCCGTGGAAAGGATGAGGTAATAGCAGAAACCCCGCACCTAGTAGGTCCTCCCTCGGGGGCTCGTGCGAGTCAGTAAACTTCAGCCTCTCTGAGTCAGCGAGGCCCCTTGGGACTGGCAGTGGGCACACCGACCCGCCACCTGTCGCTCATGGCCCGGCGCATGACCTGCACAGCAGTAAAATTTTCAACCACAGCCACCATGGGAGAGAGCAGACGGTGGTCCCTGGTGCCGCGCACCCAGGCTCTCGTGGCCACTGTGCACATCTGGAAGGCCAGGGGCTTCCTTCATCCACAAGGGCAGGTCCCCTGACAGCCCTTCCCAGGGAAGTCTGGCATCATCCCAGAGCTGGGCGCCAGCAGGCGTGGCTGGGAGCACGTGGTCCAGTCTCCAGCGGCCCAGACCAGCCGACGGTCGGAGCCTGAGGGGACCTGAACGCCGGCCCCGGGAGGGAGGCTCCCCTTTATGCTGTGCCGGCTGCTGGCGTGTCTTCCTTCAGTCTGATCACTCAGGGCACCCTTGAGGGGGCTCTGGGGTGGCCTCCAGGCCCCGTGCCTGCTTGCTTTGTCACGCATTCATTTCAGTGTTCAGGGGATGAGGAAGCAGTACGGTGAGGCGGGAGGAGCTGGCGTTCTGCATCAGATAAGCCTGACCGAGCGCGCGAGCTGTGTTCTGTTTACAGTCGCCCGTGCCCTGCTTTCCCCGCCGTGTGGAGGGAGCCCCTCCGGCTCTGCGCGCACTGCTGGCCACACCCGGGCTCTCGTAGCTACCGTGCGCGTCTGGCAGGTCAGGGACTTCCCTCGTCCACGAGGGCAGGTCCCCTGACGGCCCTCCCCTGGGAAGGCTGGCATCATCCCGGAGCCCAGGTGGGGCCCAGGAGACGACACGACGGTGAGCCTGGTGGTAGTCTTCTAGCGTCCCAGTCCGTGTGGTCACGGGGGGCGGGGCACGGCGGGGCAGAGGGACAAGCCTGAGCCCAGAGGGGCTCCAGAGCCAACCCTGCCACCTCTGGGCACCGGGTCTATGCTCTCTTGGCGCCTGTGTGTCCTGCCCGGGCGGCTGCAGGTCTGGTGGGCAGGACCCTCCCAGGTGAGTTTCATGGGGGCGGGCGTTGCATTAGTCTGCCAGGGCTGCTGTAACAAGGTGCCCACTGACCGTGCAGCTTAAACAACAGAATTGTATCTTCTCACACTCCTGGAGACTGGATGGAAGTCTGAGATCGAGGCGTGGGCAGGGCTGGTTTCTCGAGGCTTCTCGCCTCATCATGTAAGTGGCCGTTTCCTCCCTGTGTCCTCAGATGCTCTTTCCTCTGTGTGTCTGTGTCCTCCTTTCTTCCTGAAAGGACACCAGTCATACTGGATTATGGATTTGCGGGAGGGATGCAGTTCAGCCCAGAAGGGGAGGGCAGGGCCAGGTGGAAAGCTGGGTGGCAGCTCAGCTGTCTTCTTTTCCTGTGGCTGATGGGTTAGGAGCGCAGAGCTGGAAGGGGCCTGGGGGATGCTCCAGCCCTAGCCCGCCCACCCACACAGAGGGGAAACCGAGCCCCGGAGAAGGAAAGGCGGCCGTCCCGGGGCCACGAGAGTGTGCGGTAGGCGCAGAGCCCGAGCCCCCTGCTCTGGTTGGTGCAGCCCTGGCATTTGAAACAGAGAAACATGTTTCTAATCCGAGTCAGGGCTGGTTCACCATGAAATCCCAAACAGCGGCAGAAAGTCAGAAACCTGCTGCGTGTATGTGGTGGGGAGTGACGGGCCATGGGCCATGGGTCCTTCATCCGGTCCCTCATCCGTAGGTCCTTCGTCCGGTCCCTCATCCGTGGGTCCTTCGTCCAGTCCTTCATCCATGGGGCTTAGATGGTTCCTAAGCCCCTGCTGTGTGCCCAGCACCACCCCAGGCCCGGGGCTCAGCTGTAGACCAGAGCAAGCGGCATCGTGTCTTCCTGGGGGAGGGGGCTGGCGAGAACGTTCTAGTTACTTGTGTGACTGGAGTTTCTCACGTTAGGAGAAAGTGCTTAAGAAAAGCTTCATTTAGAAAACAGCTGAGGACACAATGGTGCGTCCTATGTGACCTCCACGCTATGAAACAGTGCAGGGAGCAGACCAGAAGGAAATCGTGACGTCCAGGGCGTCCCCCTCTGTTGGAGGCGGTGAAAGAGCTAGTGCTCCCCGTGTCCCCACCCCCCCGGCCCCCGGCATCTTTACACTTCCTGTTACC